ACTAGGGCACGGAACTTTTGTAACGGAACGATACGATTTACCCCCACCACTTGTTCTCCTAGAAAACAAGTCGGTGGCGTCAAGTCAACTCACCTCATCGGTTGTTGTTGACGACCGACAATCGGTTTATTACACGTCAGTGTCAACTGTCAGTACGATTTGAAAATATTAAAAAAAAATATATTTTATAACTTTAATTCAAAAAAACATGATCCGATTTGTAATATCAATCACAAATCGGATACGGATATAAAAAAATTGCTGTTAACGCATATTGAAACAACCATCCCTAAATTTTCTTCTGTAAATGACGTTCTAGTTGACGTTAAAATGAGTTTGTACCTAGAAAATAATCTTTCAACATCACAACTTGTAAATAGAGCATAAATAAAATACTGAGCTATTGAACCATATTTTTCCTTAAGAGTTAAAGGTATATTGTTTTCGGCAATTTGTTGAACAATTCTCAAATCCGAACAACAATTTTACCACAAAGGGAAACTAAAAACAATTCTTAAAAAAAACAATAATACGAACTCAAACAGAACTCCAACTTCCAATTAAAGGTAACTAAAGAAAGATAAATAGCAAATTTGACGAAATTATGCGGATGAAAAGCGTCGAATACTGCACATTTAGACAACAGTGAAATCGTACTGACAGTTGACAATGTTGACATTGATGCGCAATAAAAAACCGATCGTCGGTCGTCAATAACAACCGATCATTTTCTAGGAGAACAAGTGGAGGGGGTAAATCGTATCGTACAGTTACAAAAGTTCCGGGCCCTAGTGATGAGAGTGAAGTTGTTGGAGGGGATGAATAGCGTATGGAGAGGGGGTGGGATTCCGGAGGGATGGAAAGTGGGGGTAATTTGCCCAGTATATAAAAAGGGTAATAAGGGAAGGGTAGAGAGCTACAGGGGAATTAACCTACTAGACTCGGCATACAAGGTATACACGAAGATACTACTGGGAAGACTGGAGGAGGAGATGGAGTTGGGGGGAATTATGCCGGATGGGCAGGCAGGCTTTCGGAAGGGAAGGGGAGCAATCGACAAGGTGTACGTGTTGAAGCATCTGGCAGATAGAGAGCTGGATAAGAAGGGAGGGAAATTGTATGCCCTGTTTATAGATTTGAAGGCGGCTTTTGATAAGGTGGATAGGGGAAAGTTGTGGGAGGAGATAGGGAGGAGGGGGATCACGGAACACCTAATTGCGAGAGTGAAGGAAATATATATGGAGACTATGGCTAGGATAAAAGTGGTAGATAAGCTGAGCGACGTGTTCTGGACGACGAAGGGACTGAGGCAGGGATGTCCGCTGAGCCCAAGTCTGTTTGCACTGTATGCGGCGGACCTGGAGGATAGATTGGGGAAGGTGCAAATGGGAGGGTTGGTGGTGGGAGGTAGAAAGGTGCATATGTTAGCATACGCGGATGACATCGTGGACATGGCGAGAGAAGCGGCGGAGATGAAAGATATAATAAAGACATTGGAAAGATATTTTAGGGGGAATGGGCTGGAAGTGAATGTGGGGAAGACAAAGATGATGAAGTTTTGTAAGGGTGGGAGAAAAGGAACAGAAAACTGGAGATGGGAGGGAAAAGAAGTATACTTACTTGGGGTATGTGTTTAGGAAGGACAACAGGGAGGGGTCGCATGTGATAGCTATGGCAAAAAAGGCGAATAAGGTGATGGGACAAGTGTGGGGTTGGGGGAAGAGAGTCTTTGGAAGGAATATGGCAGCGAGGAAGATTATGTTTGAAGGTCTGGTTAGCAGTGTGATGATGTATGGGGCAGAGGTATGGGGATGGAGAGAGCAGACAATGCTGGAGGACGTGCAAGCTAGATACTGGAGATGGGTGCTTGGTGTGGCGAGAGAAACACCGGGGTATATAGTGAGGGAAGAGGTAAAGGTGGATAAGGTCAGAGTGGAGACGGGCAGAAGAGCAGTGAAATATGAAGAAAGAATAGAAGGGAAGCCAAACTACGGAATCTTGGGGGAGTGTTGGAGGGAAAGATCAGATATGGGAAAGGAGACAGAGACAACTATTATAGACGAGCGGGCTACTCGGTAACTGAGATAAATAGTAGACGAAGGGTGGGTAGGGAGATGTGGAGGGAGTTGAGAGATAGGGACTGAGATGTGCAGAGACAGGAAAGAAGGACACAAATAAAAGAGGGCAGGTATAACGAAAGGTACAGGGACATAATTACGGAGGGGCTGCCTAGATACTTGTTATTGAAAGGAGATGAGGAAGGGAAGAAGTTGGTGGCTAGGTTCCGTTGTGGAAACAAGGAGAGAGCTAACAGATACTGGATGGCCGATGAGGAAAGGTGGTGTAGGCTATGCAGAGAGGAATGGGAAACGTTGGAACATATGTTGAATGGGTGCAGTGAGTTGAGGGAGGAGGAGTTGGACCGAGGTCAGATCTTAGGAGAGAGGGGAGAGGGGAAACGATGGATGAGAACGGTTGTGGGGGTGAGGAGGCAAAGGGATGGATGAGGGAATGATTAGGCCGAGGAGCCGAGGGTATGGAAATGGAGGAAGAGGGTAGAGGGTGAAAATAATATATTTATAATATATATTAGAATGTATTAAGGGGAAAACTGTAAATATTGAAAACAATAAAATGGTTATTATTATATAAATATTAATTAAACAACTTTTTTATACACAAACCTTGCGTCCCAGTTTGAGCTGCAGGTAAATAAATATTTTCAAAAACGTGATTTGAAACTTTATCCCATATTTTATCCAACAAACAATCTTCCCATTGTTTCGGCGAAACCTGCGATAAATTAACGACTTCATCTAAAATTTCCGATCGAGCCCTTTCAAATAATTCGTCTCTATCTTGTTCGCGTAATCTCGGAAAATTATTTTTCCATTCCGTCTCCAAATTAAACCGGGTCGCTTTAAATGCATCGGCTTGTTGCTCAACAGTTTCACGAACCATTTTCCAGAAACAATCAGCAACAGCTAAACTTAAATTTCTTGTGGTTACCTGCGTTGATCGAATAAGACCTTCTCTGAATTAAAAATACGACAATAAATAAAAACGAAGTGTTCAATAAAGTATTTTGTTAAGTTACTTGAAAAGTTTTGATCCTCGGAAAAATTGTTCTTCGTAATCTTTAATTGTTTGAATTGAATCGTCTTTTCGACCTCGTCCAGTAACAACTGCGAAATACCCTAAAGCTTTCATTGGAAATAATTTACCTGAGAGTATTTTCCGTATCTACAAATAAAAAAAATTATAATTTTTTTAAAAATTAGTCTAAATGAAAAGAATTCAACACGAGTCGGCAAATTGGTCGCGCTTAATGTGTTTAAAAATAGGTATCTCTTAAATCGGAAAAATTCTAGTTATTACAACCTGGTCTAGTTGTTCAATATTGTAAACAACCTGATTGTACGGATAATTCATTCTCTCAAAAGTCATTACCGACAATATCTTTTATTGAAAATTGTGCAAGAAATAGACGCTAATTCTTCTATTAAAGTAACATTGCTTGACGGTATCAATTTTATTCATAAAGCGTGGAAACGGTCACCGAGTCTACGATTAAAAATTGCTTCAGAAAAGCCGGATTCTCTGTCAACAATGAAGCAGAGATTTTTGATGGAGAAGACGACATGCCACTTATACAGTTTATCTCTAAAAGTTTTATTAAGTTGTATCTCTAAATCTGTGGCAACTTCGGAATTTTTAACGAATAACAAAATTGTCGCTACAATCCTGTATAAAGAGACTTGCGAACGAGATGATGAAGAGAACAGTGTTGATGAAGAAACTGAAATGTTGTCGAATCGTTCTGCATTACAAAAATTGTATGATATTCGGCGGTGTTTACAATCGTGTAATCGGGTCAAATGTTCATACTGATTTCTTTTAATTTCTTCCCAAATTGTTTAATTTCATTCAATTTAATTCATGATTTTTTTTGATTATTGCCTATAATGAACTTTGGTTATAACGAACCGATTTTCAGGTCCTTTGAGGGTTCGTTATATCCGGAGTACACTGTATTATAAAAACGAAAATTGTTATAAATTTTATGACAGCGCGCCCGCTCGAAGTTTAAGGGGGTTACAAGGTTTAACCATTAGAAGGTTAAAAAATCGATTTTTTTTATTGCATAAATCGTTAGCTTAACTATCCAAGAATACGATGTCAAAATTACAAACCGAAATTCGCATTCCTTTAGATTTTATGAGGATGGAACCGAGCGGTCTGCCGTAGCCATACTAGAGATGTGCACGTGAGTGATTCTTATGTCTGCTCACGATCTATACCACGTGGGTCACGCACACCACTTACGTGAATATATGAATCACGTGTGACGAAAAAGCTCAGCACTTACTATGGACTAGCGATTCGAAGACATATACATCGATAGTGTAGAAAATATGAAAACAGCGATTATGACGACATACTATCATATGATATCCACCGATGAAAATCCTCGGCACGAGTGTTGCCCACAGGGAAAAGACAGCTGGTGCGTGTGGCAGAAACGGACAGCTCTTGGTATGGAGCTTGCACCGCATCCTACTCCATTGCATCCCGACATACAGCAGGAAATTCTGCATATATATGAAGATTTATCAAGGGATGAATTACTGGAAAGATGTTTAGGTGGCCACACGCAAAACGCAAATGCAAGCTTTAATTTTACAATTTGGCGATTAGTTCCTAAACATTTGCGCTCCGGACTAAAAGTCATCGAATTGGCATCGTACTTAGCCGCGGGCTTATTCAATGAAGGAAATTCATCCCTTCTAATGATCATGAACGAAGCAGGAATTATAGTAGGTACGCAAAACTTTAACTACGCTGAACAAATAGATAACCAGCGCGTGAGTCGACACAATCCACGTAGTTAATTGAAGTCGAAGGTCGGAAAGCTCGAAAAGCACTGCTGCAGGCGCAAAATGAAGCCTATGAGGAAGAAGAAGGACTAATGTATGGTGCTGGAATCGCGGATTAATCGGTGACTACTTTATATTATTGTTAACTTTCCTAAATTTCTAGTTTTCGAGATTTTTTTTTTCAAACGCGTTTTTTTCAAAATGACTTTTTTCACATTTGCGGGAACTCTAACCCAAAAAGTAATGAATCAATCATTATGAAAATTGATAGTATGATTCTTTATGAAATTACGAAATATATGAACCAACTTTTGAGATGATATCATGATTTTAAGAGAGTTTTTTTGCATAATAAGTTAAAAAAAAAAGTGAAATTTTAAGTAAATTTTTCCAATACCTGCAAAATTTTTCATTTTCGTTACATTTACCTGCATTGAGGTTCATATTCTTAGAAAATAAGTTATTAATCTAAAATGAAAAGCTTTTTGATATCAGATGAAAATTGAAATGGCTACACGTCCCGCAATTGGAGAACTCTAGATACGACGTCCAGCGGACATCAGTGCATAACATTGTTATTTCTCGATAAAATTATTCAAAAAAATTCACAAAAGTTGTTCGAAATATAAACAAAATAGTGTCAAAATTTGATTAAATTCTAATTAATTCTTCCCACCCAAAAAAAATCCTAAAAAATCAATGAAAATGAGCCTCCTAATGTGGTTTCCCCCTTAAGACACGCACAGCTAAACACGAATGTTTCTAGTTCTAGTGCTAGTGTTAGCTCTACTTTTACTTGTCATTCAGGGCTTGATTGATGTATATTTTTATTGAACTATAAGTAGAATTAACTGTGGGTAGCCGTTTGAATTTGTGTGCATTAAAATTATCAATTCAAACACTTTGTGCAAAAGTGCAAATTAAAAATTTTTCATATAACGGATTTTGGCTATAACGGACACTTCCTTTCCTGTATTAATCCGTTATATCGAAATTTTACTGTAAATAAATTAATAAATTGAAGTGAATTTAAAAAAAACCTGTTAAAAAGAACTCAACTCGCATTTTAAATAGCCTTTCTCACTACTTGCAATCCTGTATAGATTGCATACTAAAACAAACTATTAATAATATAACATTACCCGGTCAGGATTTGCTAAATTTTCTTCAGCCATATCGACTTTGGTAAGAACAAATATTGTTCTTTTGCCTTGTGGGTCACATTGAGCGACAATATCAGTAACATTGCTTCTTTCAGCATCTACAGATCCATCCTAAATATCAAATAGAAACAATATTAAATTAAAGAAAGGTGTATTTTGAATATTTTATGAAAATAGGTAAATAAACCAGATAGTAACATAAAATATTTACCTGTATACATAAAATGATAGCGTTGGGATTATTCATATAACCCTGACTCATCATTTTAATACTTTCACGTGTATCTGCAGCCATATCTGTAGTTTGTGTCTAAAATTAATTAAAAAAAATAGATATTATTAAGATGATATATCTGAAAAAAGTACCGAAATAATCCCAGGAAGATCAACAAGCACCATTCGTTGTAAACCAGGACCTACAACAAATCATCAATAAATATAGTTATTTTTAAGAAAGTAAAATTCCCACCTTTAACAGTCATTGAAATAACGTCAGAAGATACAGTTTTACCCCCACGAACACTATTCCGCATCCTCAACTCAACTTCCCTTCTTAAATCAGCCAAATCTGATTCTTTAGTTAAATCAAATTCCCTTGAAGAGTCGCGAAATTGCGCCACATGATATGGACCTTCAGAAAGTGTCACTTTCACTGGGGCTCTATAAAAAAATATTAGCAAGAAGTTAACACAAAATTTTTTTATAATACCTTGTCATCATTTCACCAGCTCCTCTTGGAAATATTCTCGCTTGAGCAATCATTTCCAAAACTGAAGTTTTTCCGCTACTTTGATCACCAACAACTACAACTCTTGGTAATTGATCGGCAGTATTATAACCACTATCATAATCGGCTAATTCATCCAAAACGTCACTGTACATATCAATTAAACTCCTCTTCACTTGCCTAGTACTGGGTTTACGTCCCTGTCTTAATAACAAATTCTGTTTACGAAGCTCTTTATTCTCTTTTTCAACCCGTTCCAATTCCCTTTGATATCTTATTTGAGTTTGCATCATTTCTTCTTGAATTGCATCCAATCGCTGTTGTGCTTCCCTTCTAATTTGTTCTTCATTTGGTGCCGAACGTGTATAAACTGTACTTTGTGATTTTAATTCTTCAGCCACTTCTAAATAAAAAAACAAATAAATACAAATTTCGATTAAAAATATTTTAATTAAAATACATTTATAACAAAAACATTCAGAATTCTTAACAGAAAAGCACGAACGAATATTTCATTTACAATCACAAAGAATAAAGCGTTAGTTAGCGAGATTCATGTAATAGCAATCATACCTGAGTACAATCTCTCTAGAAATTCCAACAAGCCCCCAAATGAACCTAAACAACAAAAAGAAAAAGAAAACAGCAAAAAGAAAAACCCAAATTACGTTATTATAATCATCAGACAGAGTGTACTCAAGTTAATTAAGCACTAACAATTTACTTACCACCAAGAGATGTTGATTTAATTAATTTATTGTTTCCATTTTGATGATTATTTTCAGTTTGTTCAGCAGCCGCTATGGCATCATCCAAACGCTGATCAAACCAATTGCGAAATTGTTGATATTTTGCCTCTGTTAAGGCCTTGAGTCGTGGATCTTAACAATGAATTACCGTTCTTTACTATTACTAGAAATGGGTTTCGGGTTTTTAAGGAGTCAGATTGATGATGGAAATCGGCGAACGATTTAGGAACAATTTTTGGTAAGAAGATGTTATAATGGAAACTTATTATTTAAACTTACTTAATTTACTATCAAATGTACTCTAATTCTGGTATAATTCAAGAATCATGTCGCTTAAAAATCGACAATTTTTTTTTAATCGACGGAAAATCACTCAAGTAAGCCGTTACAAATAAAACAAGTGCGGTTAAAACAAACTTGGTTAAAACGCATATTTTCCGGTGAAATACGGTTGTTTCTTAGGTTTTCGACGCACAACGACCAAAATGTCATTGTTTACCATGTATAAACTAAAGATAATAATAATAACCTAAAATCTATATCTGATGCCCTACCCTGCTCTATACTTTAAACGTTGCATCCACCTAATTTAGTGATTAATTTATAATTTAGAATATTGTGTAGAAATTCCGCTTTGAGTTAGGTTAATTAACATTTAAACCACTGAGAATTTCTCAAATGTCGGGTTGGGCATGGAGCGCACGGCTAAATCCGATACTTTCTTGTCCTAGGTATAGTGTTAGTTCTAGTTTTACACTAACACTATCACTAGAACTAACATAAGACCTAGAACTAGAATCATTCGGGTTTAACCGTCTTGAGAAACGTGGGGCTAAATCCGAATGTTTCTAGTTTTCGGTCTAGTGTTAGTTCTAGTTTTGTACTAGAACTAACACAAGACCTAGAAATAGAATCATTCATTTAAACCATTACAATATTTATCACACAATTCACTCGAGTAATGCGGCTCAAGGTGGAAGTGGAATTATCATTAAAAGTAATATTGACCACTATTTGAACAATACAAGTACTGAACAACATCAAACTACAGTAATAAAAGTTCAAACTACTAATGGGTTAATATTTGTAGCAGCAACGTACAGTCATGTTCACGGGAAATGCACACTCAAGGTCAAGCGCTGTTGTGAGATCCGACATGCCGCTGGCTCAGCTGGCTAAACGGGCTGAGCCGAACACCTACGAGCCACGAGCTTCGTGTACGCTCGGCTCAGCCCGTTTAGCCAGCGGCATGTCGGATTTCACAACAGCGCTTGACCTTGAGTGTGCATTTCCCGTGAACATGACTGTACATGCCGGCGAGACATAATCTTAAAAGAGAAGACTATCAGGGAATTCTACTACATCTTGAAAACAAATTTATACTTTGACTTTAATGCAAAACATATGCTTTGGGGTTCTCGCTTGACATATACAAAAGGATGAGAATTGGAACATGTAATAGATGCCCTAAATTGTGAGGTGCTCTCCACTGGTAAGTCAACTTGCTGGCCAACAAATAGAAGTAAAATTCCGGACCTGCTTGATTTTTTTATTACGAACAATATATCGCCTAACTTCGTAAACATAGAAAAAGACATTGACAAGGAAGTAGAAAAGTTCTTAAAAGACATACAAAACGTAGCCTGGTCCTCAACACCTATTTTAACACCAAAACCTAAATCTAATATTTATCCTAAATTCATTAGAGACAAAATTGCAGAAAAACGGAAAGCAAAAGAAAGAAATGGTAAACCAATAGAATTGATAAAACTAAATTAAATAAAATAACAGTCGAATTAAGAGCATTAACAGATAGCCACAAACAAATAAAATTCAAAATTACTTAAAAGACCTTACTGACGATGTCAGTACTGATTATTCTCTGTGGAAAACAACAAAAAAGCTTAAAGTTCCAAAAACAGATACACCTCCAATTCGAAATAATAATGGAAATTGGACTAAGAGCAATCAAGAAAAAGTAAATTTGTTTGCTGAACATCTGAAAGAAACTTTTACATCAGAGAGTCCAACAAAACTATTTTAAAAAGTGTTCCTAGCATAATTCCAAGTGATCAGCAAAGTAATATACCATGTGTATTAAAAGATACTGTTATCTCCAAAACAACGAAGAACTAGTTGTCACACGAGAGTACTACGAATGCCTTGATCGTGGAAAATGTAGAACCCTCATTAGCGATTACCAACATGTACTAAAACAATATAAAGTAACGGATATCGAGGCGAACGACGAAGCTGATAGAAGAAACGCCCCTCAAACAATAATCAAGGCCATCTATAAGCAGAATGACAGGGATAGGAAGGAAACATGGGCAAAGTCAATGTTTTACCCTAAACTGATAATGAAATAAGTAGACAGCTAGATTCGTCAAAGCTGAATCTGCTCAACGCCGCAGCAGAAGAACAATGGTTCGCATTTGCAGGAGGTGTCATAGTGACGAAGAAACAGCCTACTATGTAGTAACGGCCTTCAAACATAACTACGCCAAGCGACATGATTTCGTGGCATACTGGCTAATAAGAACTATCAAACTTGTCAAAAATCAGCTCAAATTTGGAAGAGCTAATTTGAACTGCGAATATACAACCGAGGGCAGAAAATTTAAATATAACGTATAAGCCAGATGTATTGGCCAGGGTCGAGAAAGAAGGCAAAACAACCATCTACGTCTTCCAAGCGGTGATGCCCCATTTCCAGAACTACAAAACCCAGGAAGCCGTGAAGATCACAAGGTATGCAAAGAATTCCGTAACTCATGTCGATCATTTAAATTACAGCACTGTGGGCAATGCCCTCTTGTTTACAACGCAACAGGTGGAAACATCGAAGAAAGACGTAAAGCCTTGGAAAAACAACGCGAACAACATCAACCCCGAGAATAGAACCACATCAACCACAACCGGAAGTGACACCGGAATTATTATTTTCGATTTTCGATTAAATTCGCAGTCCGAAGCGCCGGAACCACCAGAGTTGTTAAATCCACAACCAGAACCGGTGGAACTCTCGGAACCACTGGATCCGGAACTACAAAAACAATTCGAAAAGGCGCTTGCTCTGGTATGTACTAAAAACCGCCCTAAAAAATTATATAAGTTCAATTCCTCATATAAAAACATGTGGATACCAAAGATTAACGCAATATTACACCAAAAAATATGTTAATAGGCACAATAATATAAAAAAGGCTATTTTGGCAGCTGGTTTCTTGCTTAGGCTCGAAACAACCAGGTACATGGGTAGAGAAAATCACATACCGCAACATAAAAAGACGCAGAACTATATTAAAGATCTCGAAAAAAGAATAAATATTGCTAAAGAGATAAGATCTTTCACTAATCAAAAGCTTAAGCCAAAACAATACCAAATAAGTCGAATTATGAAAAAACTCTACTTGACTCCATCCAATTATATAAAAATGTTAGAACATAGAATCAATACATTGCACAAAAATGTTCAAAATCCATCTATAAAAATTATAAACATCAAAGACAACGAGCAACCATGGAATTTAGAGCTCTCTGAAGCAACAGAATATTATAAACATCTGTATAAGAACGGGAAAAACTCGACAAGAACACCTATTTACAACCAATGGTTGCAAAAACTACGACGGCACGATAGAAACCAAGACGAGATACAACACGGTGAGATAAAAGACAGAATTGCCAACAGATTAAAGAAACTTACACCATGGAAAGCCACAGGAATAGATGGTATACCTGGATATCTATATAAGATCTTTAAAGCGGCCGGAACATATATCGCAAATCACGTAAACGACATCTTGCATGGAAAATATCCCTTACCCAAAGAAGATGTAGTCGCAAGATTGACATTGCTTCATAAGTCTGGGGATACTAAAGATCTAGCCAACTACCGGCCTATATCAGTACTTAACAACGACTACAAAATATTGACTGGAGTTATAGCGGATATAATGGTGGAGTCAGTAGGGCAAATGATCCCCATAGAACAACTATGCAGACCAAAAACATGGGGAACTCTGCAGGAAATTCTAATGTACAGGGCGGAAACTCAGATCTCTCGGATGAGAAGGCGTCCCCACATCTCAACATGGTACGACTTTCGTAAAACTTTCGATTCCATCAACCACCATGTACTGAGAAGAATTATAGCCGCGCTACCTATGCCGGAAGCAGTAAAGAAAATTTTGAAAACCATCGTGGGGTTATGGAATGTCCGAATACAAGGCCCGAAAAAACTATGAGAGGTCATAGAAGTAAAAAAGGGAATATACCAAGGCGATAGCCTGAGTCCATTACTATTCAATCTGATCACTGCCAGTGTTATAGATGCGATCAAAAATGATGAAAATATCTCCAAACTAAGCAGAGGCCGCATGACCATCATAGCGTATATGGACGATATAAAAGTATATACTGGAAACCAGAAAGCAGCATCAGCAATCATCGAGATGCTGCGGACAGTCGCCCAAGAGCTAGGGTTCTCTCTCAATGTGGCAAAATGTGCAGTATACGGCCGAAACCTAAAACCAGAAGATGTAGACGATATGGATCTACAATATGTAGACACAAATTACAAACACTTAGGCCTGTTCCAGATTGAGAGAGATCAAAGTGTCAACATCGAAGCACTTGAAGAGAAGATCCTACGACAAGCGAAAACCATCATGGAATCGCGGTTGTCCAGTTTTCAGAAAAGAGCAATCTTCAACAGCACGACCATTCCGGCGGTCGTCTATGTCACTGGCAACGTGTTATTGCAAGAATCCGTCGCAACTACCTTATTGAGATGTGAAAGCCTGGACAAGGAGATACGCAAAATAGCAACGCAAACCCAGATAAAAACAAGATCGACGTCCAATCAACGGCTCTACATGTCCACATCAGTCGGGGGATTGGGGTATAAAAGCATTGCATTGGAAACAACAATTCACTACGTAAGAATATATTGGTATCTCCAAAACAACGAAGAACTGGTTGTCACAAGAGGATACTACGAGTGTCTTAATCGTGGAAAATGCAGAACCCCTATTAGCGACTACCAACATGTATGGAAAAATATAAAGTAACGAATATCGAGGCGACCGACGAAGCTGATAGAAGAAAAGCTCCTCAAACAATAATCA